GAAGTTTGCCATCTTAAACTTGTTTTCAATGTACAGTTCAACAGTGTTAAAAGAATGTTGTCATTATTATGCAATCTCCAAGCCCTTTTCATCTTACAAAAGTGAAACTGTCCCCATTAAACAACCACTCCTCATCCCACACCCCAACCCCTGCAGTCACCGGTCTCATTTCTGTCTCTGAGTTTGATGGCTCTTGGTTCCTCATGTAAGTGGAATCATGTAGTATTTTTGTCCTTTGTGACTGGCTTGTTTCACTTAGCATCATGGCGTATAGATTTATCCACATTGTAGAATGTGACAGCATTTCCTTCTTTAAGGCTGAATACTAGTCTTACGATTAGTTAAATTGCAAATCGTCGATAACTTAAAAATTGTTGTTCCTGGGCGGGCCTGGTGACTTGTACCTGTTAATCCCCACTGCTCAGGAGGCCATAGGCGGGAGGATCATAGTGCAGGTCAGTTAGGGCAAAAATACCATATCCTACCGAAAAATAGTAAAGCAAAAAAGGGCTGGGAGTGTGGCTCAAGGGCAACGCTCTGCGTTCAAACCCCAGTACTGCCAAAGAAATTGTTGCTCAGGAAAAAGTCTGCATAATTAATTGTGGGAGGAAGTAGGGAGGGTTGTGTTCGGAATGAGATAAGACTGTGCAGGCTGGCCTAAGGCCTGAGTAGAGGAAATCTCTGCCCCCATAGGGCTTCTGCCATCTCTCCACTGAAGCTCAAGAGGAAGAGAATTGTCACTGAACTGACAATGGCTGGTCCTGGTGTGTGTGTGTGTGTGTGTGTGTGTGTGTGTGTGTGTGTGTGTATGTGTGTGTGACTGGGCATTGGCTCTACCACTTGAGCTATGCCCCAAACCGTGGTCTGACCTTTTGAACATTGCAGTTTACAAACTCATGGCCCATGACATAGAAATCAGGGCTGGGCTGGACCATTTTTTCCATCCTGATAGAGACAGGCCAAGCATTCCTAGGGGTCAGCTGGTGCAAGTGCTTCCCTCTGTGTCCTGGAGAATCCATCACTCCCTCGAAGGTGTATTTCCTTGAATGTCAGCTCTTGAAGAAGACTTGCTGATTGCTCTGAGGAAGGGATGGTGAGAAAATGACTTCACCCCACAGCTCTCCCATGACAGTTCCGGGACTAGGCTGGAGGCCTCCCCTCTAGATCTCACTACCGTCCTAGTCCAGAAAGCCTTGTTATTTATAAGGCTTTACTTAAACCTGGAATCTGCTTATCTAGACTGTTTTTTGGATGGACTTTTTTTTTCTTTTTTCTTTTGTGGTGGGGAAGAAACCCAGGACCTCATGCATGCTAGGCAAGTGCTTTTCCACTGAGCTGTACCCCAGGCCCTGGCCTCTGCATCTTAGAGTATGCAGCATGTATTATTTTTAAAACCTTGCCCTACACCCTGTGACATGGGCCTCACCTCCATCTTCTAAATGATGTTTACCGACCTAATGCCTAAGGTCCTCTCTCTAGGAAGCATGTGAACTAGGACTTGGGCCATTTCCCTATCCCAGCCCTGTATTTCTTTCAACATGGTGTGATGTAGTTCTCCTGCCAGTGACGTGCACTGGGCTTAAAGGTACCAATTACTTCTTATTACTACTTATTATTTTATACATTATTGAAGTTCAGTCTTCTATGGGGTAGGCCTTGTGCTAAGTGCTCTGTGTGTATTATTGTATCAGTCCTAAATTGACTACTCAGTACGTGCTACTGTTACCTTTATTTTGCAAAAGAAGTGTCTGAAGGCAAAAGAAACTTGCAAAGCAATTTGCGATTGAAACTCAAGAGGCAGGATTTGAACCCAGGACTGTGTGACTCGAGAGCATCTTACTGTGATGTAGTGAGTTACTTTTTGTATACATTATTTCTTCTAACTTTATCTCCAAAGGAATAACTACAGCAAAAAATTTCTGACTGTCTACATTCTTGCTTTTGCTTTTTTGCCTTTGAAGTCATTTATCAGATGCACTATTGACTTGTCTTTGTGAATGTACCCTAAAATGCTGATATTCTGACCATCAGTTTTTGAACACAAGAAACGTCTTCAGCTATCACTGGGATGCAGGCCAGCACTGAACAGTGTGAATGACGGCCCTTTCTAAGATTAGAGCACTGTGCTGGCACTGGGACTTTTCTTGATGTAAATCATTGTCTAAGTCAGTCTGGGCTGTTGTAGCAAATTGCCACAGACTATGTGGCTTAAATAACAGAAATGATTTCTCACAGCTGTGGAGGCTGAAGGCCAAGGTCAAGATGCTGGCAGATCCATGCACTGTCTGGTGAGGTCTCCATATTGCTGCCTCCTCACATGGACAGATCTCTCTCTCTCTCTCTCTCTCTCTCTCTCTCTCTCTCTCTCTGGTACTGGGGTTTAAACCAGGCCCACATGCTTGCTAGGCAGGTGCTGTACCACTTGAGTAACACCCTAACCCCCTTTTTGCTTAGTTTTGTTTTCAGATAGGGTCTCTCCTTTTTACCTGGGACCACGATCCTCCTACCTATGCCTCCCAAGTACCTGGGATGACAGGCATTTGCCATAACACATGGTTTGTTGGTTGGTATGGAGTCTTGTTAGCTTTTGGTTGAGATGAGGTCTTGTTAACTTTTTGTCCAGGCTGGTGTCCAACCTTGATCTTCCCAGTCTCTGCCTCCTGAGTAGCTGGAATTACAGGTGTGAGCCATAGAGCCTGGCCTCTATCTCTCTTTTATAATCCTATCATGAAGCTTTGCCCTCTTGACCTAGTCACCTTCCAAAGGTCTCACTTCTACTCCAGTCCCAGGTTAGGTTTCAGTGTGTGAATTTTGGAGGGGTCACAAGCATGAAAACCCAGCAAGTAATGGGGGGTCATCAGTAAAAGCTGTGGCAGGTGGGGCTGGTGGCTACTTGGATTAGTGAGTTATCGGCTGTGGTGAGGCCTGGGTGCACAGGCTGAGTGAGAGATGCTCATAGGTGCTGCCTCCAAGGGCAAGAGCCTGGCCTTGAAGGAGGTTTGGGGGTTGTTTCCCAGTGAACACACAACTTGCATGGGCTGTGATTCCGAGTGAACTAGGAATCTTCCAGGAGGAAGAACTCTGAGTGAGGGGCCAGGGAACCTGGCTGCCATCTGAGCTCTGCCTTTTGCCAGCTGTGCTGCCTGCACAATTGTTGACCTTGGGCTGTCATTGGGTTGGCCTCCATCTCTAAGGCTCCTTCTACTCATATCCACTAACCATTCTGAAAGAAAATCACACTGTGCCTGGATTCTCCTCCTCCTCCTCTTCCTCTTCTTCTTCTTCTTCAGGCAAAATTCACATAACATAAAATTCTCTTTCAAACCATTTTAACCAATTTTTATTTTAACAATTCAGTACTTTAGTACTTTCACAGTTATGTAGCTGCATGGCTGTCTTATCCTAGAACATTTTTGTCACCCTCCAAATAAACTGCATAGCATTAAGTAGACAGTTCCCATTGCACCGTCACCTCCAGCCTCTATCAAACCACCAACCTGTTTTTATGTCTCTGAGGATTTGCCATTTCTGAGCATTTCATATCCATGGGATCAAACAATATTTATTTCTGGTGTTTTCACTTAGTGTACTGTTTTGAGGGTTCATCCAGGTTATGTTATGTATTCATTTCTTTTTCTTCATTTCTTTTATTTTTTTTTTAATTTTTTTTTTTTTAGTGCTTAGAAAAGTTTATTTTGCACTCAGAATATTTTTCTAAGGCATGGCAAATTACACATCCAAACTTCTCAATGGTAGAATATTTAATATTCTGAAGGCAGGCCTTTAAAAAAATTTGTACGTTATGATACTGAAAGTCTAATGGATTCACACAGAAAGAGAACCTAAAAAGGGGCAGAACATCATCTATTACATAATGGTTAGTTTATGGTTTTTCCCTTCGTTGCAGCAAATATGGTCGTTCATCACACCCTCCCCTGTTGTAAGGTGAAAACTATTTATTTCATCTTGCTGATATCCACATGTGAAATACCACATATTATTAGCAATCAATAACAAAATAGGAAATTTGTCTTTTTAAAAACATGAAAATGTTATGATTTTAAAACATCAGGCATTTACTGACTGAAAAATCAATTAAGCACTCTCAGTGTGAGAACAAAGATAATGTTGAAAATATACAGATGATGTTTTTTCCTGAGTAGAATGCAAACTTTTATTTTATATCGAATTAAGCTCTGAATTTCTAAAATATACAAAGCTTTTCAATATCAAATAAAAAATCAGGAATACCCATCTTCACAATTAAAAAAAAAAAGGCAAAGAAAAATTCAAGACAAGGTTCAATAATAATGTAAAATCTGGAATGGATGGCCAAAATCTTAACAGTTCAATTAGTTGGTTCTCTCAGTTCAGTTTCAAACACACACAAAAATAGTATATACCAACAGCAAATTTAACAGTCATACTTTTCCTATCATCCAATTTAAAAAAATGTAACCTAAGACAAAAAACACAAGCCATACACTTAACTAGAGACCAAAAAGGGTAATCAACCTTTACAGGAATCCCGAGAATACCATGGACTTACAAAACCTGCCTAAATCAGTAGTTATGTCCTGTTATATCATGTGTAGAAAACTATAATTAAAGCAAGAGAGTTTTTATTAGTTGCATAATCTAAAATCTATGAGGAAATTTTTAACTCTACCTCTAAAGACCACAGTTTCAATTGAAGTACAAATTTCTTGAGACAGTGGGGGCAAAGTTCCCATTTATGGGAAATATGTTCTTTTTTTCACACAGTGAAACTGAGAAAAATCATATCAAATGAGAAATCTTTTTCTCTAAAGTAATCTTCTTAAACACCCCAGAGTAATGCAAATCTTGGGAAATATAATTTTTCATCTCAGACTTGAAACAGATTACCATTAATAAACATAACACAAGTCTTACTGCTTGGCACCAGATTTTCTAAAATTATTGTTTAAACCGCCACATGTTTATAAATCATAAATTCCACACTTTTATAGTCGCTTTTATTTTCTGAATGAAAACTGTTCAATCTATGATCACTTACACTGAGCCCTGCAAAATACAAGCAAGTCACAGTTCACTTCAAAACAAATGATCGATCTTTTGCTTTTGTCAAAACTGTAGTATTAAGGTATCTGTAAAAATTAACTAGGATTTATCTGTAGCCAATGATGGACCCACAGAGCGTTGTCTTATGGTATTCTGTGGAAAGTCTTTGTTTGTCTCTTCTTTATTTTCTGCTTCCTCTTCTGAAACATCTTCTTCATCAGCCTCTTGTTCTTCCTCCACTTTTTTCAAAGGCTGAGAAAATTCTGGTAATGATTTTTTTGAAGAGTATGGCTGTGGTTTGCGCCTTTTTGAAGGACAAAGGCAATCTGCAACAAATATCATACCAAGTCCTAATAATAGTCCTGAAAGCAGAGTCACTAAAGCAAAAACTGTGTATGAACCCCAAACTGGTAATCCAAGGTCTTCAATAAAATAGTTATGACAAGTCCTGATGTACATAGATAGCCGAAAAAGTGCTGACACACTACTCATCAGAACAGAACCTGGACCAAACCATGATGAAACTGGTTCAATACTCTCCCACTCTTTTTCACTTAGGAAGTTTATGAAGTCCTTCTTAGTCCGTGGACCCTGATAGCGCCTAAATTCACCATCTTTACAATGATAAATAGTAGGAAGAGCAGTTATAATAAACCGTCCACTTAGTCCTGTCTGCTCTGTGACATCTACTTTTGCAACATTAACCTCAAGATCTTCTCCCCATTCAGCAAAACTTTCCCATTCTGGTTGAAGATTCTGACAAGCAGGACACCGGGGAGCATAAAATTCTATCATCCACTCTCCTTCCAGCAGCTCTGTCCAGTTCTCGTCCGTGATGACGCGCACGTCGCTCCGCCGGCCGTGGGCCCAGGGAGCCCCCCAAAACACCACCACCAAGGCCACCAAAGAAACCAGACGCCCGGAGGGCGCCATGTCGGCCGCTCGCCCACCTCAGCACGCGCGGCCGCCCCCCCTCCCCGCAGCAGCTCCCTCTTCATTTCTTTTAATGGCTGAATAATATTCCTTGCTTTGTATGTATCACATTTTGTTTTTCTTTGTCAGCTTGGATTTTCTCACCTTTTGGCTATTATGAATAATATTGCTATTAACATTCTTCTACAAGTCTTCATTTAAACATATGTTTTCATTTTCTTGGCATCTACCTGAGAGTGGAATTCTTGGACCATATGGTCATTTTCTGTTTGAGGAAATACCAAAGTGTTTCCCACAGTGACTGCGCCATTTTGTATTCCACCAACAATGTAAAAGGGCCCCCCAACTTCTGCACATTCTCCCCAACACTTGGTACTTTCCTCTTTTTGAGTTGCAACCATGTGGGTAGGTATGAATTAGTATCTCCTGGTGGTCTGAATTGGCACCTCCATGTCGTGCATCTTTTTGTGTGCTTGCTGGATATTCATCTATCTTCTTTGGAGACATGTTATTCAGTCTGTCCACTTTTAACCTTAACTTGTTTTGTTGCAGTAAATTGTATGGATTTTTTTTGGAGGGGGGCAGCACTGGGGTTCGATCTCAGGGCTTCATCTTGCTAGGCAGGTGCTGTACCACTTGAGCCACTCCACCAGCCCTTTTTTGTATTGAGTATTTTCAAGATAGGGTCTCGCAAACTGTTTGCCCAGGCTGGCTTCAGACCTCGGTCCTCCTGATCTCAAAGCCTCCTGAGTAGCTGGGATTACAGGCGTGAGCCACTGGGGCCCATCTTGTATAGATTCTTTACGTAATCTGGACAGTACACCTTTATCAGATATATGGTTTTTAATATTTTCACCCATTCTGTGGATTACCTTTTCACTTTCTTGATAGTGTCCTTTGAAGCATCAAAGTTCTTAATTTTGATGAAATCCAATTCATGTACGTTTTGTTGCTCAAGCTTCTGTTGTTGCATTGTCCCTGGTTGCTCTTAAAAACTACGAGCTCAACTAAACTCTAGCAGGCGACTTCCAGGAACTTATTTCTTACAATTGTATTCATGTAACAAAACCCTTGGGGGGCTTTGAAATTCATTTAGGGTAGTTTTTACAACATCTTAGTAATCTCAAGAGTTTTTGTGCACTGAGTAAGCCTTTTCCTCCTTCTGATCCTGTTTATATAAGGAGCACTCCCTCATTGTGTGTGTGCATAGGTATGGATCTACAGAAACATGCTTTTACGTAAGTATACCTAATAAAATTGAAATTTTCCTTCCCCTAACCAGTGATTTTGCAGTGGCAAGGATGGTGGAGAGGAAGGCAGCAACCAACAAGTAGAATTTAAAAACGAATTTGGAGAGTTAATTCAATTTAAAATGTTTTCTATTTGGTAACCATATACAAAGTTTACTATCTTAATGAGTTTAGGTGCACGGTTCAGCATTGTATATTCATGATGCAGTGCAGCCTTCAGAATTCTTTTCAGTTTTCACCCAGTGCTAGGGTAGTGACTCATGCTTATAATCCTAGCTGCTCAGGAGGCAGAAATGGGAGGATTGTGGTTCAAGGCCATCTTGAGCAAAAAGTTTGGGAGACCCCATCTCAACTAATAGCTGGGCACAACTGTGATCCCAGCTACACCGGAAGTGTGTAGGAAGATTAAGGTCAAGACCAAGGCCAAAAATGAGAGACCCTATCCCCAAAATAGCCATGGCTGAAAGAGCTGGAGTTGTGGCTCAAGTGGTGAAGCACCAGTTTAGCAAGCACAAGGCCCTGAATTCAAACCCCAGTACCACCACCAAAAAAGTAAAATAAATAAATAAATAAATAAATAAATTCTCTTCTGAAACCTTGTACCCATCCAACAATGAATGACCCTCATTCTCCCCTTCTCCCAACTCTTGGCAACTCACAGGTGCTTTCTGCCTCCCCGGAGGGACTGCTTTGGGAGCGTCCTACAAGTGGAATAGTGCATTATTTGTGTGTGACTGGCTTATTTCACTTAGCATTAGTGTCCTCCGGGTTCCTCCATGTTACAGCATGCAATAGAATTTCCTTTTTTACGGCTGAATGCTATTTCATTGTTTCTCTGGACCACGTTCTGTTCAACAGAATGACCCATTCATCCATGCGCCCATACCCACACTGGGGTTGCTTCCACTTTTGGCTGTCACTGAGAGCGTCACTGTGAGCGTGATGTGCAGGTCTCTGTGGGACCCTGCTTTTGAGTAGATTTCCCACAAGTAGGACTGCTGGACCATCTGGTAACTCATTTAAAATCTTCGAGGAACACCATTTGGTTTTCCACAGCACCTGTACCATTTTGCATTCCTGCCCGCAGTGCATAGGACTCCTGTTTCTTCACACCCTCACCCGCACCTTTTTTTGGAGATGGGCTCTCACTGTGTTGCTGAGGCTGGCCCAGACTCCTGAGCCCAAGGGATCCCCCTGCCTCAGCCTCCTGAGTAGCTGGGACTATAGCTGTGTGCCATCGTACTCAGCTAGATTTTGCTTTGTCTTTGTTGGATGTAGCTGTCCTAATGGATAGGAGGTGGATCTCCCATTCATTTTGACTGGCCTTTCCATAATGGTTAGTCGTGTTGGAAGTAGTTTCTTTTTTTGGCCATTTGTATGTCTTCTGTGGAGAAATGTCTATTCAAGTCCTTTGCCTAACACTTTTGAGCGTGTTTTGTTTGTTTCTTTGTTTTTGTTTTTCTAATTGTTGAGTTGCAGGAGTTATTTATTTGTTTATTTATTTATTTTGCAGTACTGGGGTTGAACTCAGGGCCTACCAATTGAGTCACTCCACCAGCCCTTTTTTTGTGATGGTTTTTTTCAAGATAGGATCTGGTGAACTATTCTCCTGGGCTGGCCTCAAACCTCGAACCTCCTGATGTCTGCCTCCCAAGGAGCTAGAATTATAGGCATGAGTCACTGGCACCTGGCTCTTTATATATACATATATATATAAATATATATAAACTCCTTATCACAAATTTGATTTGCATGTATTCCTCCCATTCAGTAGGTTGCTTTTTCACTATGTTGACTGTGTGCTTGGATGCACAGAGATTTTGATTCTGGAGATAGAATCAAATGACAAAAGGGACATGTGTATCTTCAATAACATTGACAAGCAAATTTAAAAAAAGAAAAATAACATTGATAATCTTTCTACCTAGAAATGACCACAGATTGTGTTTTGTTGAATTACATTATTCTATTTTTATACTTCCACCAAGAATACTTGGAAATACTTTTTTCAGCATTCTTGGTATCACTGGGTATCATAGTTCTTAGAGCTATTTTCCAAGTTTATAGGTGGCAAGTGGTATTCTGCTGTTTGCCTACTTTCCTGTGTTCATATTTTAAACATTAATTTGTAAAAATTGCCTATTAAAATTTGTCCGTGTTAATGTTACCTGCTACACATTTTGTCTTTGCCTCTAGTCTTTTAATGGCTTTTATTTTTTGACATCTAAATTTAAATTTTATATTGTTGAATCAATTCATCTTTTGGGGCATAATTTTTGCCTTTATTGTCATTCTGACCACGAGTGTATATATTTACCTATTTTTTTTCTCCTAAAGTCTTTTTGGATTTCATGTTTATTTAGACATTTTTTTTTTTTTGGTGGTGGTGGTATTGGTGTTTGAACTTAGGACCTCAGTGCTTGCTAAGCAGGCACTCTACCACTTGAGCCGCTCCACCAGCCTTGTTTAGTGTAGGTATTTTCGAGATAGGGTCTCTCTAATTATTTGCCCAGGCTGGCTTTGAACCATGAGCATCCTGATCTCTGCCTCTCAAATAGCTAGGATTACAGGTGTGAGCTGCTAGCGCCTAGCTTATTTACATTTTAATTTGGGAACTTTAACTTAAAGATCAAGGTATAAGTTAACTTTCTAAATAGCAGTTTTTCTAATTCTAATTATTAAATACTTTATTTTCCCATTTACCTTTTGGTATTCTTAACCTCTCATGTACACCTGGATGTGTTTCTGGCTTTCTACTGTTTTATTGATCTTCCTTACTGAACTCAATGCTGCTTTAGCTACTGTAGCTTTTAAAAATCTTTTCTTTTCATTTCCCCACTGTTCAAATGCATTTTACACTAAAGATATTATCAGTTATAGAAATCTGAGTATAATTTTTTTGAGCAGTACCGGGTTCTGAACTCAGGGCCTCACACTTGCCAGGCAGGTGCTCTACCACTTGAGCCATGCCCCCAGGCCTTTTTGCTTTGGTTATTTTGGGGCTAGGGTCTCTCCTTTATGGCTATAATTTTTTTCAGAATTCTATTAAGTTTATCTATTGAATTATTACAAGGCTAATTTATTTTTAAGTTAAGTCTTTCTAAGTTTATATTATGTCTTAATTCCTGTGAAATTTTCTGCTAAATTTATTTCCAGATGTTTTGTTGCCACTGTGAATGGGAAATCTTCCATTATATTTTATAATTTATGTTCTGGGAGACTTTTGAGTTTTATATTAATTAGAAACAGGTCACTGTAATGAACTAATTCTTGGTTCTAATCATTCTGCATTGATTCTCTTTGGATGGTTTTATTATCTGTGGCTCACAGTCCTCTTATGCATTTGCCTGTGTTTTTATTAGTTATTTCCCTTCCTACCCTGGTTCCATCGATCGGAGTGCTACAGTCCCCTGCATGATTTCTGGTTTCACGTGAAGGCATCCGTGTTCACTGTTGTTTGAGAGAGAGGCTCCCCACCATGGGAGAATCATCGTCTCCTCCATACTTGAGCTTATTGCCAGTGTCCTTCAGTCACTGGCCATCGGGAATACACTGGGTGAACTCCTAGGTTTCTTACTTATTGCAGCGAGGGAGAGCACATCCACGTGGAGCTGTGGAGTGGCTCTGTAAGAGGGTGTTGGAGAGTGATTTGGGGGCTCAAGGAGGTGACTCCTTCTGGTTAGGGTGCTGTCAGAAAGTGGGGATGACTCTATGGTTGAGTGTTTCAGTAAATCTATCTATGGGAAGAGAGATTAGTCTGAGGTTAAAGCTGTTGTGAA